GTAGGGGTTGGAAGGGACCTCCAGAGATCATCGAGTCCAACCCCCCTGCCAAAGCAGGTTCCCTACAGTAGGTCACACAGGTAGGCATCCAGGCAGGTCTTGAACATCTCCAGAGAAGGAGACTCCACCACCTCCCTGGGCAGCCTGTTCCAGTGCTCCGTCACCTCACTGTAAAGAAGTTCTTGCGCACATTTGTGCGGAACTTCCTATGCTGCAGTTTCCAGCCGTTTCCCCTTGTCCTGTCTCCACTCACCACTGAAAACAGTCTGGCCTCGCCATTCTGCCCCCCACACCTTAGATATTTATAGGCCTGGATCAGGTCCCCTCTCAGTCTCCTTTTCTCAAGGCTGAACAGACCCAGTTCACTCAGCCTTTCCTCGTAGGAGAGACGCTCCAGGCCCTTCACCATCTTCGTGGCCCTCCGCTGGACTCTTTCCAAGAGATCCTTGTCTTTTTTGTACTGGGGAGCCCAGAACTGGACACAGTACTCCAGATGAGGTCTTACCAGGGCAGAGTAGAGGGGGAGGATCACCTCCTTCGACCTGCTGGACACGCTCTTTTTAATGCACCCTAGTAAGCCATTGGCCTTTTTGGCCACAAGGGCACACTGCTGGCTCATGGCCAACCTGTCGTCCACCAGGACACCCAGGTCCCTCTCCGCAGAGCTCCCCTCCAGCAGCTCATCCCCCAACCTGTACTGGTGCATGGAATTATTCCTCCCCAGATGCAAGACTCTACACTTGCTTTTGTTAAACCTCATCCGGTTTTTTTCTGCCCAGCTCTCCAGCCTATCCAGGTCTTGCTGAATGGCAACACAGCCTTCAGGCGTGTCAGCCAATCCTCCCAACTTCGTATCATCAGCAAACTTGCTGAGGGTGGCCATTATCCCCTCATCAAGGTCATTGATGGAGATGTTGAACAAGATCGGACCCAGTACAGACCCCTGAGGAACACCACTGCTTACAGGTCTCCAACCGGACTCTGCACCACCAACAACGACCCTCTGTGCTCTGCCAGTCAGCCAGGCATATCCCAGGCATTGGGCTGTATTGGAGAAACAACCTTTGCCAAGCAACCAGCTCTTTGCTTAGGAGAGGTAGTTCCTGGAGCATTTGCATTCAGCTTTCCCTGTTCTGAAGGAGCTAAATTCCACCAGTGACCTTCTTCCTAAGGAGTTTTCAGTATGAGAAAGTCTGATCTTGCTTCCCAATGGAATGCTGTACTCATACATCATCAGTTGTCTTTTCCTGTTTGGAAAACAAACGCTGAGCTCATTGTTGGGACATCTTGAATTTGCTGGCTTTGATGCAAAGAACTTCCGCTAGTTTTTCTAAAAAAGATGGACTTCTTTCCAGTACTTTGAATGCCAGGACAGTGATTTTTTTTTCCTGTTTTTTTAATAAAGATTTTAAGTTAGATTTTGACTAATTCACTCATACCTGTTGCTTGGCTTCGTGGGTTGTAAGTGACAAAACAGAACTCAAAATGGCAAAGCTCATTTAGGAGATACCTATCCCTTGATTTTTATATTTCTTTTCCACAGCAGCTATCAGTGCAGGACTCCTTCTAGCTCAGTAGCATGCCTCCAGCAGTAGGAATAGTGAATGCTAAGCAGACAGAACAGGGTAAGCAGAAGGGATTTTTTTAACGTATTTACCTGAAGTCTGCGGCTTGGAGGCTCCTGAATCAATTCCAGTTTTTCTAGATTTTTCTTTGATAAGTTTCTCTCCCACCTCTTTGGATCCAAATCTTCTATGCCAGGTGTAACGCTGTGGCTTAGCTGTGCGTTTGCTTCCACTTGCCACAAGTATTTCACGTGATAGCCCATCATTCTGGTGTCATGAGAAACAGTAATTGTTTCCCCCCTTGCCTTTTCTGTTCTGTTGTTGACTTCATCAGCCTCCTCGAGCCCCCTTAATCACATTTTTCAGATTGAGAAGTTTAATTGTAAATTACTCACTTAGTTGTACCCCTCTTGGAAGCTGTCTAGTAATGTTACACCTCTGTAATGCTATAATATGGGATGGAAAATACCACGATAATAGCAGGGTGGCAAAGTCTTTGACTACACCAAGTGAGAACAAGCCCAAGTGCAGCAGCCACAGATGTAGACACGAAGGAAAAGAGCTGCTTACCTTCAGAAGGCCTCAGCTAAGCAGGAATCTTCAAAGGGAAACACCCTCACCTCCACTGCCAACCCTTAAATGAGGTCTGGGAAGAGGTGGATCCTGGCTCCAGCCCTTCTGGTCGCTTAGGTTCATTGCATACACCTGAGCTCACCTGCGTTGGCCCTGCCTTCCACCAGGTGCTCAGTTGCTGCCTCAAGCTCTGACTCAGCATTTCTGGTACAACCTCCTAGAATTATTTCTAGTTCTTCCATAGAATCATTAAGGTTGGAATAGGCCAGTGAGATCATCTAGTCCAACCATCAGTTCATCTGTGTTTTCTTTCAGATGTTGCTCTCTCTGTTACCCAGCTGTAAGGGCAGTATGAAATTTCACAAAGCAATGTAATGGTGCTTTCTTACTCCTCCTCTTTCTATTAGTGCCTTCTTTTTGTTTATTAACTACCTGAACACAGAGCTGGTGGTACCATAGACAGCCCGCACAAATCCCTTGGAACAACCACCAGCAATTGCGTGCGTTCATCTTTTATTCCTATTCAGCCTTTATCCCTGCAATCAGCTCAGCTTGGCTGGAATTGATCACCCTGTCCTAAGGAAGGTTTCTCACCAAATGAAGGCCTGAGCACAGGTGAAGCTGGAAGGTGCTTTGAAGCTTTCTGCTGCATTTGTTCTCGGGTCAGGACCTGGCTATCTGCAAGCTGAGTTCCAAAGCTTGAGAAATTGGTAAACTTCCATCATCTAAATCTGTTTCTCCTGTTCCAGCCAATTAAACATTAAAATGAGCGTGACAAA